CCTAAGATTTTCAGTCTCTGTAATACAACCTGTAAATTAAATTGGGAACATTATAAAATTTAATTCACTTTGTTCCCTCCTGCTCAGACTTAACAGGCCAGGGGAGGTCAACTGTTTGGTGTTATCTGATCCATTGGAAAATCAATCCATTTAGAGTTCTGGTTTGGCCATTCTGGCCCATTACCTCTTCCCCTCCCTCCAGGAGATCAATATTTTTAGTCTTAGAGGGCGGAGCCATACAGAGATATTTGTGCTCAGGCTCAGTGGGCGGGGCCATGCACAGATCACTGTGTACAGCCTGAGGGGGCGGGGCCATGCTTAGATCACTGTGTTCAGTCTGAGGGGGTGGGCCATGCTCAGATCACTGTGTTCAGTCTGAGGGGGCGGGGCCATGCTCAGATCACTGTGTTCAGTCTGAGAGGGCGGAGCCATGAAGAGATCAGGCTTCATCAGAATGCATACAGAGATCTTAGAGAGCAGTAGCCTCTGTTCTGAAAGTGCCACGCTAGTGAATGTAACAGACTAAACAATATTCTATAGCTAATCTATAAGGTTTTCAGTCTCTGTAATACAATGTGTGTGCAATGCTTGTAGATATATTTTCTAGCATTATGTGTCAGTGTGGCTTTGTGTACCTCTCATGCATTTCTGAGTTGGCCATTCTGGTCCCAGCCCTCTCCCCCTCACTATCAGAGATCACTGTGTTCAATCTGGGTGGCAGAGCCATGTACAGATCAGACTCCATCAGACCTAATACAGGTATCTCAGAGGCAAGCGCCCCTTGTTCTGGTCAGAAGTTAGGGGGGAGCTTTTAACAAACAGAGTAGGTTCCCCATCAGACATGGGACTATATGCAGCTGCCTTGTCAGCCTAATGGGAAATCAGGCCCTGGATCCGGATATTTATTAATGATATTTGAAATCACTGAGTTGAAGATTTTTCTTTTCTTTCACAGAATACAGCACCGGAAAGAACATCAGAACCAACATTGGTGATCAAAGAATCTACTAAAGAAGAGGTAACAGACTAAACAATACGCTATAGTTAAATCATAAGATTTGCAGTCTCTGTAATACAACCTGTAAATTAAATTGGGAACATTATAAAACTAAATTCACTTTGCTCCCTCTTGCTCAGACTTATCAGGCCTCTACCCCTCCCTCAAGGAGATCAATATTTTTAGTCTTAGAGGGCGGGGCCATACAAAGATAATTGTGTTCAGGCTCAGTGGGCGGGGCCATCACAGATCACTGTGTCCAGCCTGAGGGGGCGGAGCCATGCTCAGATCACTGTTCAGTCTGAGAGGGCGGAGCCAAGCTTAGATCACTGTGTTCAGTCTGAGAGGGCGGAGCCATGAAGAGATCAGTCTCCATCAGAATGCATACAGAGATCTTAGAGTGCAGTAGCCTCTTTTCTGATCAGCAAACACCTGGCAGGAGGTAAGGAGGGGCTTCGTAAGACACAGAGTAGGTGCCCCCATCAGACATGGCACTGTATGCAGCTGCCTTCTATCTTCTTATTATATTAGAATTCATCGCTTTGAATATTTTTCTTTTCCTTCATAGCCTATATATTAATCAAGAATGGAAACAGAAAGTTCCACTATAGTAAACGTAAGGGACTAAAAAATATTCTATAGTTAAAGGGGCACTATAGTCACCCAGACCACTTCAGCTCAATGAAGTGGTCTGGGTGCCAGAACCCTCAGGTTTTAACCCTTCAGATGCAAACAATGCAGCTTAAGAGAAACTGCTATGTTTACATTTGGGGTTAAACTAGCCTCTAGTGGCTGTCTTCTGGACAGTTGCCGCTCATGCTCAATCGGCTCCGCTGACATCGGACGGGGGAGCTGACATTGGCGGGGTAGGAAAGGTCACCAGTGCCGAGGGAGCCCGGTGCTGGATTAAGGTAAACTGCTGAAGGGGTTTTAACCCCTTCAGCGCCACGGGAGGGGGACCCTGAGGGCACTATAGTGTCAGGAAAACCGCTATGTTTTCCTGACACTATAGTGATCCTTTAATCTGTAAGGTTTTTTTGTCTCTGTAACACAGTGTGTGGGTGGAGTCACGCGTAGATCAGGCTCCATCAGACTTAATACAGGTATCTCAGAGCCCAGCACCCTTTGTTCTGGTCAGGAGATAGTAAGGAGCTTTTAACAAACAGAGTAGGTTCCCCATCAGACATGGGACTCTATGCAGCTGCCTTGTCAGCCTAATGGGAAATCAGACCCTGGCTCAGGATATTTGAAATCATTGAGTTGAAGATTTTTCTTTTCTTTCATAGACTACAGCACCGGAAAGAATATCAGAACCAACATTGGAGATCAAAGAGGCTACTAAAGAAGCGGTAACAGACTAAACAATATGCTATAGTTAAATCATAAGATTTTCAGTCTCTGTAATACAACCTGTAAATTAAATTGGGAACATTATTAAACTAAATTCACTTTGCTCCCTCCTGCTCATACTTAACAGGCCAGGGGAGGTCAACTATTTGGTGTTATCTGATCCATTGGAAAATCAATCCATTTAGAGTTCTGAGTTTGGCATTCTGGCCCCATACCTCTCCCCCTCCCTCCAGGAGATCAATATTTTAGTCTTAGAGGGCGGAGCCATACAGAGATATTTGTGCTCAGGCTCAGTGGGCAGGGCCATGCACAGATCACTGTGTACAGCCTGAGGGGGCGGGGTAAAGCTCAGATCACGGTGTTTAGTCTGAGGGGGTGGAGCCATGAAGAGATCAGGCTTCATCAGAATGCATACAGAGATCTTAGAGAGCAGCAGCCTTTGTTCTGAAAGTGCCACTATAGTAAATGTAACAGACTAAGCAATATTCTATAGTTAATATATAAGGTTTTCAGTCTCCGTAATACAATGTGTGGGTGGAGTGACGCACAAATCAGGCTCCATCAGACTTAATACAGGTATCTCAGAGCCCAGCACCCTTTGTTCTGGTCAGGAGATAGTAAGGAGCTTTTGACAAACAGAGTAGGTTCCCCATCAGACATGGGACTATATGCCTTGTCAACCTGATGGGAAATCATGCCTTGGCTCAGGATATTTGTTAATGATAATTGAAATCATTGAGTTGAACATTTTTCTTTTCTTTCATAGACTACAGCACCGGAAAAAACATCAGAACCAACATTGGAGATCAAAGAGGCTACTAAAGAAGAGGTAACAGACTAAACAATATGCTATAGTTAAATCATATGATTTTCAGTCTCTGTAATACAACCTGTAAATTAAATTCACTTTGCTCCCTCCTGCTCAGACTTAACAGACCAGGGGAGATCAACTATTTGGTGTTATCTGATCCATTGGAAAATCAATCCATTTAGAGTTCTGAGTTGGCCATTCTGGCCCCATACCTCTCCCCCTCCCTCCAGGAAATCAATATTTTTAGTCTTATAGGACGGAGCCAGACAGAGATAATTGTGTTCAGGCTCAGTGGGCGGGGCCTTGCACAGATCACTGTGTACAGCCTGAGGGGGCGGAGCTATGCTCAGATCACTGTGTTCAGTCTGAGGGGGTTGGCCTTGCTCAGATCACTGTGTTCAGTCTGAGGGGGTGGGGTCAAGCTCAGATCACTGTGTTCAGTCTGAGGGGACGGGGCCATGCTCAGATCACTGTGTTCAGTCTGAGGAGGTGGGGTCAAGCTCAGATCACTGTGTTCAGTCTGAGGGGGCGGGGCCATGCTCAGATCACTGTGTTGAGTCTGAGAGGGCGGAGCCATGAAGAGATCAGGCTTCATCAGAATGCATACAGAGATCTTGGAGAGCAGTAGCCTCTATTCTGAACGTGCCACTCTAGTGAATGTAACAGACTAAACAATATTCTTTAGTTAATCTATAAGGTTTTCAGTCTCTGTAATACAATGTGTGTGCAATGCTTGTAGATATATTTTCTAGCATTATATGTCAGTGTGGCTTTGTGTACCTCTCATGCCTTTCTGAGTTGGCCATTCTGGTCCCAGTCCTCTCCCCCTCACTACCAGTGATCACTGTGTTCAATCTGGGTGGCAGAGCCATGTACAGATCAGACTCCATCTGACCTAATACAGGTATCTCAGAGGCAAGCACCCCTTGTTCTGGTCAGAAGTTAGGGGGGAGGTTTTAACAAACAGAGTAGGTTCCCCATCAGACTTGGGACTATATGCAGCTGCCTTGTCAGCCCAATGGGAAATCAGGCCCTGGCTCAGGATATTTATTAATGATATTTGAAATCATTGAGTTGAAGATTTTTCTTTTCTTTCATAGACTACAGCACCGGAAAGAATATCAGAACCAACATTGGAGATCAAAGAGGCTACTAAAGAAGAGGTAACAGACTAAATAATATGCTATAGTTAAATCCTAAGATTTTCAGTCTCTGTAATACAACCTGTAAATTAAATTGGGAACATTATAAAACTAAATTCACTTTGCTCCCTCCTGCTCAGACTTAACAGGCCAGGGTAGATCAACTGTTTGGTGTTATCTGATCCATTGGAAAATCAATCCATTTAGAGTTCTGAGTTGGCCATTCTGGCCCCATACCTCTCACCCTCCCTCCAGGAGATCAATATTTTTAGTCTTAGAGGGCGGAGCCATACAGAGATATTAGTGCTCAGGCTCAGTGGGCAGGGCCATGCACAGATCACTGTACAGCCTGAGGGGGCGGGGCCATGCTTAGATCACTGCGTTCAGTCTGAGGGGGTGGGCCATGCTCAGATCACTGTGTTCAGTCTGAGGGGGCGGGGCCATGCTCAGATCACTGTTGTGGGGATATTTATGGGATAATAATAGTAACAGTGAGAATTGCCCACTAATTCAATTCTCAGATCCCAAAGAACGTTTATCGTGTTAAGTGAGAAGTATATCATATAAATAATATTCACAATTTTGTTATAAAAATAGATTTTATTTTATAATAACAAATTAATTAATAATATGTAACATGCATGACAATAATCAATGAATATCCAGTATAAAATGGTATGCAATACAAAGGAATGGCTATACAGATTTCAATGGCTAAATAGCATTTCCTGTCAAGACTTTTGACGATTTATGAGGTATCCTTGACACAGACTTAAAGTGAAACATTTCACAGCGAAGGGCCATAAAACCCTTGCTAACAGTTAGAATAACCTTTTCAATGCTGGCTAGATCTCCTAAGTAGTTAAGATCTATTCTTATGTAATTTTAAATAAAATAACATTTAAACCAGTTCATTAGTCATTTCCTGGAACCATCCAATAAGAGAATCTACCATATTTATATAAGCAGAGTTTTAATTTGTCTAAAAGATATCTTATCTTAATTTAGAGCAAATCAATACACCTGGATAAAAACAGCAGTATGCTAACACGTGATAATATCACATCAACATATATAATTGTTCTTAATTCCACCTGCAGAATGGAATGTTTATAACTATATATACTTTAGTTAACTAAGATTTCTTAATATGGAAATCTGACCGTGCTTTATCCAGTCATATATAATGCTATTAATACATTTTAATTAATTAAATGAAACCAGTATAATTACCAGTTGAGTAGATATTTCATCCGATTGGTAGTCTCAGGAACTTATTTGGATGTCTCTCTGCATGGAGGTTGGAGTCCCCAAACTTCCAATTCCTCTCTCCTCTTTTTCTTTCTCCTTTGCCTTTCTCTATCTTCCCTTTGTCTTAACTTTTAAAGGGCCAGACTCTCTGAACGTCATCAGTTGATAACCCAATAGAAGCACTAGAGGTGTGGTTACCTTTCAGATCGCAATTTAGGTATTTGGTCTATAGAGGGCAGTCTTGTCCCACTAAACATACCTATCCAGGAAAGAGTTAACTTTTCCTGGTGGCTATTTTTTTTTTTTCATGTTTAAATCTTTATTTCACTTTTTCAAATTACAGAGAAAACACAACACTGTGCATCAGTATAACAAAAAAAAAAGGAAAAAATTAATAAAAATAAATAAAAATAAAAATAGAGATAAAAAAAATAATATACAGAAATAGAGAGATACCATTCACAATTCGAGATATGCTATTACTATCTTTTACAATCTCATCTAACTTATTTTCGGCTTCAGTAACACAGCTTTTTATATCTTTTCACTGAATTATTTTTTACAATAAACATTTCCTTTCTCTTTTTCTCCTTTCTCCCTTTCTTTTTCTTTTCTTTCTCCTTTTCCCTCTGAGATAATTTATTACAAGAATCAGGATATGTATAAAGTAAATTTTTATCCCTCCCTCTCTAAAGAAGAAAAAGAAAAGAAAGAAAAAAAAAATATATATATATATATATAGATAAATATATAAATAAAAAATAAAAAAGTACAATTATAGTAATTCTTCCTTTTATATGTCTACATTTCCAATTTTATTTAATTTATAGAATTCCATATCAAACGTCTATATCAATCTGGTTTTTTTTTTTGGTTTTGTTTTTTCCTGTTCTCGTTCTCTTTCCCTCGTCTCTCTTCCCTTTCCTCTTCCTTCATTTGTTTTGTACCACCTATATTTTATTTACCATCTGTATTAATGAGACTATTTTGCTTGTTTCATTCCCCTTATTTTCTTTTAATTTCCTCTCATTTCATTTCCACCTCACCCAAATTTTTTCATAAATGTGTTGTTTGCCTTTTAGCCTATATGCCATTTCCTCATAAATTTTAGTAGTAGAGATCTTTTCTCTTATTATACTTAATGATGGTACCTGTTTTGTTTTCCATAAATTGGCTATAGCATTTTTTGTAGCCATCAATCCTGGTGGCTATTTTGACGTCATTTTGCGTTATCTTTATAGTGCCATAATTTAAAATTTCAAAGGGTTTCTTTAAGTTTTGTCCAGACTATGTGTCTAGCAAATCTGCTATAATTTCTGGTATGGCAGATCATGAACTAAGTTTACCCTTTTCCATACAATGGTACCATATATAGAAGGCTTGGCCTGTAATTGTGGGAGGTACATTCCCTATATAAAGCGCAATAAGCCCAGCTTACCTGTCATCGACGTTCCAGAAGTGCTTCAATCTACTTCCGGTTCACGTGATCCAGACGCAGCAGTTTCAGTGAGAGGAAAAGAAAAATTACTCTACTTTGAGATCCGGCCGATAGCGGGTGCCTAGCCGCTCCACGAGGCTATCTCCCCGGGTGAACAGTGAGTCATATCACGGGCGCATCAAACACGCCACGTATAACATTAAAAAGGGAGCCCCTTCGTCTCTCAGGGTCCATGGCATCACGCTGTATACAAATGCCACCCTCCCATGTACTCACAGGAGGCACGGAGTTTTAGGCATCCCCTGTGATAATCGCCGCATACCGGCTTCGTTTCGTCTTACCGCTTAAACAATTCAATTCATACCTCTTATACTTACGTGCGGGCATGGCATCTTCCTATTCTGGGCTGCATTCGGCTATTTCATTCATAGCACTGTTCCCCGCATATAAGCTTGTTTTAACTGTTAGCATGCCAGTTATTCAGTATGCCTGACTAAAGGACATTAAATATATGCCTAACTTTCATTTATGTTGCAATTATACTTTCAATGCTCCATTACTTAAATACAAATGAGTTACAACTGTCAATTTTAACCCACATCAGTGGTTGTTCCGTTAATGCTACATTAGTATTAAATACATTCATGAGAAATCCTTTACTTTATTTATTAGTTATTATATAGGTAATGTAGGCTCAACTCGTTCTTATCCTGACGTTATTTTCCCGCCTACAGACAGTCCATTTCAAACTCTCTCAAGCATTATCTCTCGTTGAAAAAAAAAAAAAAATATATATATATAAAAAATAAAAAATAAAAACTCCTTAGGTTTCAATAAATCAAACACTTGATTTCTGTAAATTCTACTACCATTACTAACTATTCTTACTTATTCAGCATTAGGAATAAATATTCTGTTTATAAACTCTGCTAATTCTCCGTTTACCTTACACCTGCCGCCACAATTCGCGCAATCAAGCATTTCGTGTTAAACATTCGCTTAATTGGGGGGTTATTAGGAGTCCGTTCACATAAATTCGGTCAATTAACCCTGTCATTACAGTTATACGCTTCATAACAGTTTTTCGGTTGTTTTACACAAAACACAGTACAAAGCTCCGTTCTTGCTAACTGGCAATTCGTGGGGTATAAACGGTCGTTGGTTCAAGCGGGCATTTCACTCACATATTGCAGTAATAGTTTATACTCCGGTTAAATTTAAAAATGACACGCTGTCGTTTTCATTTTACTACAACTGTTCGATTTAGTACATGCTTAAATATTGTCAATTATATGCTGAGTAGCCTGGTTGCTTTGGCATTGTCACCACATTGTGGTTTGACAAGGCTGAGCGGGTAAATTCTGTTAATATGTGTGTGTATGTATGTATATATATATATAGGTTCTTTACTCTGTACCGTCAATTAGGGTACTTTAAGTGTCAGAGTTTAACTACGGACAGTTATCCACGGTCTCATGCATTTCTTGTTACTAACTACACTATTCAATATTGTTTAAATTACATTGTCTTATGTTCTCCTCTCTGTTTAGAAACCCTATTTATGACACAGCCTACAAACTGAACTTGTTAAACGCAACTACTATATTGTTAGAGTTCTGGCTATCACCCGCCAAACCCAGGGATTAGGTGGTAATCTAAATTTGTGAAATGTTTTAGGGCAAGTAAGGATTATTCTCTCCACGTCAATATACGTCAGACAAATCTTTTATCACGTATGGATACGGTCAAACCCAGGCAAGGTCACCAGTAGGTTAAGCTCTCGCCAAGTTAGGTAAGGTCCCATAGGCCTCTTCGCCTAGCAGTTAAGTGGTCCCGCAAGGCATACTATCAACCATTACGGTCAGAGGTTCATGCCCAATCGTCCCAATTCATAGTTAGAGCCTTGCACCAACTCATAGTTAGGGCCTCACCGTCACGGCCAATCGTTATTACACTCTGTTAAGCGTCACCGAGAGGCCAACACCCCGCCACCCACCTCAGTGGCACAAAGGCCCCACGAGCCAAATCATAGGTAGAGCCTCTCATAGCCACTTGGCAAATAGTCAGGGCTTCACCTGTCACCAACCTAAGCTAGTTAATACAATTTCGCCAGTAGGCACTAGCCTAGTAAGCGGGGTCACCACCGATCTATACGGTACCATACTAACCTTGTCCATCTGCCTCACTTCCATAGCATGTCTAACAATTCCACACAAGGAGATGATTTGTCAGTGGCCAGCACCCCACTCAGATCAGGCTCGCAGAGACAAACCCTAAAATCACCTCAGAACTTAAAAAGAAGAATATTCCTTTCTAGGCTACAGCCAGGAAAGCCGAACGGTTTAGGTTGTTAAATATTACTGAAGACAACAAAAGGCCAGGCCCTAGTTTTAATTTCAATGTGCAAAATAGCCTTGCAGAATTACACAACAGGATGGCCTCCCTGGTTTCCTCAGTAGCAACTATTAACAAAAGATTGGATTATCTGGAGTCAAACAATATTACAACCGTTCCAGAGATTCCAGTGCCTGTTACTCAGCCCACAACTAACGCAGGAGAGAGCGAAAAACCTCTACCAGCTAGTAGAAATACTAATATCATTAACCCCATTCATCTCATTCCTCAGTCTCTAAGACGGGACAGATGCTCTACTGCTCCTCATTCAGTTAATTTCTGTCCTGAAAACGTAGCGTCCCCTTCTACCAGTAGAGCCAATACTGGTTACCAATCCAACACAACACAGAGGGAAGTGAGAGACAAAACTTGGTAGGCCTATTGTTTTTCTAGGTAAAGCACAAGTCTGCAACAATTTTAATACAGGTGATTGCAGTTATAATGCTTGCAGGCTGTTGCACGTATGCTCAATGTGTTTTAGAGCACATGCCAAAACAATGTGACCCAACAGACTGTACCCTAACAAATCTTCCACACAAATAAACGTACCTAAGTTGCAACGCTACCTGTCTAATCATCCTTCTGTTCATTTGGTTGAATTTCTCACTGCTGGTTTCACGAATGGGTTCCACACAGGGTTCATTTCACTCCCCACAGGGGTTTTAGAATGCCCCAACTTACAGTCGGCACTCACAGATCCAGACAGCATACGCAAACTATTACAGAAAGAAATCACAAATGGTTTTATGATAGGCCCTTTCTCTACTCCTCCTTTCACTTCCTGAAGGACAAACCCACTAGGAATCGCCACAGGAAAAAATAACAATAAAAGCGACTGATTATTGACTTCTCTACACCACACTCATCCCCTACACCTAGCCTTAATGCTCTGATTCCATCAGGTGACTTTTCCCTGTAATATGCCAGAATTGACGATGCCATCCAAGCAATCATTCATGCCGGGAAGGCTGCTTGGTTAAGTAAATCTGACATCACAAACGCATTTAAACTGCTCCACATCCACCAGTCACTCTGGCATCTGCATGGAGTTAAGTGGGTAGGAAGCTACTATTTCACTACAAGACTGACCTTCGGATCCAGAAGTAGCCCTAAGTCATTCGATATATTTGCCGAAACTTTAACCTGGCTCCTACTCAACTCTTGCAGATGTCCAGTAGTCATACATTACCTAGATGACTTCCTCACCATCGAACCTCACCAACACACACCCCACAGCCTTAATCACATGCTCACTCTTTTTAAAGACTTAGGAGTCCCCGTTGCACAAGGGAAACTGAAGTTCCCTACACAGTGATTTCATTCCTGGGTATTACACTCAATTCAGTTTCTATGCAAGCCAGCCTGCCTCAAGAGAAAGTAGACCGTATACTTTCTTACTTAAACACTCGTATGTCACAAGGCACTTGCACAAGGAAACAACTACAGTCACTACTCGGTTCACTAAATTTTGCTATGAGAATAATTCCTCAGGGTAGGTCTTTCATTTCCAGAATCCTCTCACTATTGCACGGCCTCCCCGAATTCCCCTTCCCTAAACGAATCAGCTAGAGCTGATCTACAAATGGGGCAGCTGTTCCTATCATCCTGGAATGGCAGGTCGCTATTTGTTCCACCCATATCTGACGATTCCCCTGTAAATTGGACCGATGCTTCAGGTGCATTAGGGTATGCAGCCATTTTTGGTGATGTGTGGCTATATGACTCTTGGCCACTTGAGACCATCTCACTCGAAAATTTCAATACCACCTCAGCTCTATTTGAAATTATCCTATAGTAGCAGCTGCACACGTCTGGGGTAAAGAATGGAGTAGACAGTCAGTCAGATGCTTTTCGGTTAACATAGCTACCCGTGATATAGTTAACATCGGCTGCTCTCAGTCCCTAACGATTATGAAATTAATAAGGAGACTGACCTGGCTAGCGGCTAACCAGCAATTCTGCATAACTTGTTTTCACATTCCGGGTGTTCAAAATAACGCTGCTGATGCTCTCTCACGCTTGAATTAGCAGGAATTTTTCAGGATCACCCATCAGCAAACCCGCAATCCAGGGGATCTCCAAGCTTCACAAAACTAATTATGTTTTAAGTTCTCTATTACAACATAGTAGATCTCTCACACAAGCAGGCTTATCCACTAGTACAAGGAAACCCTACTCTAGAGCATACAAGTCGTTTAAAGATTTTGTTTGTGATTATCGTATAATAAATGTATTTTCTGTTGAAACTGTTGTTACATTCACAACTTTTTGCCATATTTCTCTTAATTTAGCCTGCAACACTATCAAACTCTACTTAACAGGTATACAACACTACATGTTGACCAACCATCCCAACAAAACCCCATTCCTAACGTCCAGTAAAAAGTGTCCTAAGAGGTGTTCACAGATTATCCGCACACAATCCCATCAAGAGACTTCCAATAGACAGTAAACTCTTTAAAAGTATCTCCGATATCCTTGACACGTCCCATTTTGAACACACCACAAACCTAATTATAAAGTCCGCAGCTTACTTAGCTTTCTGTGGGTTTTGAGACCCAAAGAGTTTTCAGTGGAGAAAGCAACCGATTCTAAGCTTTGCCTCCAAAGAAACACCTAAACAAAGACAAGACCACTACATCTTATTCATTACCCATACCAAAACAAGCCAAACAGGTCCTCCGGTAGAAATTAAATACTATCCTACCTCTATCAAATGGTGTCCTATCCTAGTTTTAGATAAACTATTGATGTCCCAAATCACTTCCAACCCAGATTGTCCACTGTTAGCTATTCAAGGGAAACCCCTAACCACTAAACAATTTATGTATTACATTTGTACATTATTGCTCCGGCTAGGACATAACCACACGCATTCACAAGTCATTCCTTTCGCATTGGTGCAGCTTCAGCTGCCTCAGGGAACCACGTACCAACACACATCATCAAAAACATGGGTAGATGGTAATCATCAGCATACAATAGGTGTATTCTTAACCCTGAAAAAGAAATAAGAATGGCTTTCCATGACATGTCTAAATAATGTTTGTACTTAAATTAACTAATGTTTTGAGTAATCGCTTCTAATAATTTTTGCCCTCTTTTACAGGCCTAACCTCACGTCAGTTTCGGCACACCTCAACTGACTTGCTATTACTAGTACTGCTTCTTTTACTATCATTGCCTTACGTCCTCGTAATGTGCCGTACACAAATAGAAGGCTTGGCCTGTAATTGTGGGAGGTACATTCCCTATATAAAGCGCAATAAGCCCAGCTTACCTGTCATCGACGTTCCGGAAGTGCCCCTCCCACCACACCCTCAATTCATTAACAATTCTCCTAGGTGGGCCCTCTTTTACAGGCCTAACCTCACGTCAGTTTCGGCACACCTCAACTGACTTGCTATTACTAGTACTGCTTCTTTTTCTATCATTGCCTTACGTCCTCGTAATGTGCCGTACACAAATATATATATATATATATATATATATATATATATATATATATATATATATAAAAAATAAAAATTGATTCCTGCACTCACGCTGAATTTTCCCTTCACGACCGGGTGCCAACCATATATAGCCAAAAAATATAAAAAATATAAATTAATGGTTGCACTCACGGTTTTTCCAAGTAAAAGTCCAAAGTTTATTGTCAATTCATAAAAACTGCGATCAACGTTTCAGTCCTTCCATGAGGACTTTCATCAGGATCATTATGATCCTTATGATCCTGATGAAAGTCCTCATGGAAGGACTGAAACGTTGATCGCAGTTTTTATGAATTGACAATAAACTTTGGACTTTTACTTGGAAAAACCGTGAGTGCAACCATTAATTTATATTTTATATATATATATATATATATATATATATATATATATATATATATATATATATATATATATATATATATATATATATATATATATAGACAGTAAAATTAAATTATTTAATCTTCTCTGTCACAAATGTCTGGGTTTAGATTTGATCTATTCCATTAGCATTAGACAGTCTATCCAACCCCCCTTTCTGCTTATCACTTGTTTATACTATGCATTCCTTTAGCTCTGGGAAAGTGGTTAGTTTACAGATAGAAATCTTGTGTCTTTTTGTTAACTTGGAAATAACAAAATGGAGTCTGGTCTGTTCAGAGTGACTCAGAATATACACTTTTAATTTCTATCATAGCACAAGATGTCTGCCGATATAAATACCCTGACACTGTGTTCTGTCTTAGAGGGCGGGGCAATGAAGAGATCAGGCTTCATCAGAATGCATACAGAGATCTTAGAGGGCAGTAGCATCTGTTCTGAAAGTGCCACTATAGTAACTGTAACAGACTAAACAATATTCTATAGTTAATCTATAAGGTTTTCAGTCTCTGTAATACAATGTGTGTGCAATGCTTGTAGATATATTTTCTAGCATTGTGTGTCAGTGTGGCTTTGTGTACCTCTCATGCATTTCTGAGTTGGCCATTCTGGTCCCAGTCCTCTCCCCCTCACTACCACAGATCACTGTGTTCAATTTGGGTGGCAGAGCCATGTACAGATCAGACTCCATCAGACCTAATACAGGTATCTCAGCCTAATGGGAAATCAGGCCCTGGCTCAGGATATTTGTTAATGATATTTGAAATCATTGCATTGAAGATTTTTCTTTTCTTTCATAGACTGCAGCACCCGAAGGAACATCAGAACCAACATTGGAGATCACAGAGGCTAGTAAAGAAGAGGTAACAGACTAAATAATATGCTATAGTTAAATCATAAGATTTTCAGTCTCTGTAATACAACCTGTAAATTAAATTGGGAACATTATAAAACTAAATTCACTTTGCTCCCTCCTGCTCAGACTTAACAGGCCAGGGTAGATCAACTGTTTGGTGTTATCTGATCCATTGGAAAATCAATCCATTTAGAGTTCTGAGTTGGCCATTCTGGCCCCATACCTCTCCCCCTCCCTCCAGGAAATCAATATTTTTAGTCTTAGAGGGCAGAGCCATACAGAGATAATTGTGTTCAGGCTCAGTGGGCAGGGCCTTGCACAAACGTACTCTGTTTATTAAAAGCTCCTTACTATCTCCTGACCAGAACAAAGGGTGCTGGGCCTCCTGAGGGGGTGGGCCATGCTCAGATCACTGTGTTTAGTCTGAGGGGGCGGGGCCATGCTCAGATCACTGTGTTCAGTCTGAGAGGGCGGAGCCATGAAGAGATCAGGCTTCATCAGAATGCATACAGAGATCTTAGAGAGCAGCAGGCTCTGTTCTGAAAATTCCACTATAGTAAATGTAACAGACTAAACAATATTCTATAGTTAATCTATAAGGTTTTCAGTCTCTGTAATACAGCGTGTGGGTGGAGTCACGCACAGATCAGGCTCCATCAGACTTAATACAGGCCTCTCAGAGCCCAGCACCCTTTGTTCTGGTCAGGAGATAGTAAGGAGCTTTTAACAAACAGAGTAGGTTCCCCATCAGAAATGGGACTATATGCAGCTGCCTTGCAAGCCTAATAAAAAATCAGGCCCTGGCTCAGGATATTTATTAATGATATTTGAAATCACTTTCATAGACTACAGCACCGGAAAGAACATCAGAACCAACATTGGAAATCAAAGAGGCTACTAAAGAAGAGGTAACAGACTAAACAATATGCTATAGTTAAATCATAAGATTTTCAGTCTCTGTAATACAACCTGTAAATTAAATTGGGAACATTATTAAACTAAATTCACTTTGCTCCCTCCTGCTCATACTTAACAGGCCAGGGGATGTCAACTGTTTGGTGTTATCTGATCCACTGGAAAATCAATCCATTTAGAGTTCTGAGTTGGCCATTCTGGCCCCATACCTCTCCCCCTCCCTCCAGGAGATCAATATTTTAGTCTTAGAGGGAGGAGCCATACAGAGATATTTGTGCTCAGGCTCAGTGGGCAGGGCCATGCACAGATCACTGTGTACAGCCTGAGGGGGCGGGGTCAAGCTCAGATCACTGTGTTTAGTCTGAGGGGGCGGGGCCATGAAGAGATCAGGCTTCATCAGAATGCATACAGAGATCTTAGAGAGCAGCAGCCTTTGTTCTGAATGTGCCACTATAGTAAATGTAACAGACTAAGCAATATTCTATAGTTAATATATAAGGTTTTCAGTCTCCGTAATACAATGTGTGTGCGTCACGTATTCATCAGCTGTTAAAAATGTGGTTGATGGCATTTACTGTCAACACATGAAAAGTTGTGCCGAGCAGCAACCAAATCCACAGAAGGGTTAATGCTGAGCAGCAATTATGCAAATGAGAACCTGGTAACTGCCTTTGGGGTCAAAGGCTGGTTACAGCCTATCAGATCTAAAGGAGGGGTATTTAGGCCCAATTCTCATCCTGCTAAGTGCCCTGTCGTGGTTTCCCTTGTGGTTGTCCGAGAGCGCGTTCTTGATTTTGGTTATTCTGGTTATTTAACTTTGGCATTGTTTTTGACTTCCCTGTTTTCTGGCATCCCTGACTCCTGGCTTTTCCTTATCATTGTGTCTCTTTCTGTATCCCTTGACCTTGGCTATTCCTGACTATTCTTTGGTACGTTAGTCTGGCCATTCTAAAGTCCGGTATACGTTACCTATCAGTCCTCTGTGTTACACAATTTTACGTGCTGGATCATTCTGTAATCCTGACATTACGACATGGCCAGAGATCCTGTAGAATTGTGTAAGCACATAGCTGCTTGTGAAAGGAAACTGGAGGATAATGATCACCGCATGGATCAATTTGTCCAGGCCTTCAGTACGCTTCTTACCCGAACAGCGCATCTGAAACCTGCAGCCTCACTTCCACCTTGTGTACCTCCAGCTATAGTACACACGGCACCTACTATCTCCCTATCTCCTCCCCTGCATTTTGATAATAATATTCAAGAATGCCGGGGATTTATTAACCAAATGGAGTATCATTTTGAGGCCTCACCTGGATCTTTTCCCACAGACAGAGCTATAATTACCTAATTAATCAATTAAAAGGTAAAGCTTTAGCTTGGGCCAATCCATTATGGGAGAGTAATAGGAGTGTGGTACACAATTACCAGGAGTTCCTTAGGGAATTCAAACTTACATTTGAACCTTTAGGCAGAGAGGATGACGCCTCCACTGCCCTGATGCACATCAGACAAGGGTACCGGTCTATCTCGGAATATGCCATAGAATTTTGTACCCTAGCTTCCGAGGTAGAATGGACTAATAGTGGATTAATCTCTGCATTTAAAAAAGGATTATCTGAAACTATGCTAGATGAGATTGCTGCCAAAGACTTACCCAAAAAGCTTAATGACTTTATCACTTTTGTCATGCAGATTGATGATAGATTAAGAACCAGAGAAGCAACTAGAAACAAGACCAGACGCATGTGCATGCATTTAGCACCCCGTTTTTCCAGACCTATTGTCCCTGAAATTCCTGTGCAGTCCGAACCCGAACCCATGCAGCTGGTGGTCACTAGACTGTCGGAACCATCAAGACAATATAGGAGAAACTATACTGTGGTAGGAAGGGACATATGAGAAACAATTGTCCCATACGTCCGGAAAACTACCGCACCTAAGCACCTTAAGTGGACAGGTCTTAGGTGTAATGGAAACGTCCTCTGAAAAGAATAAAAATAGGTTTCTCCTTGACATTTCTATCGCCTTTGACAAAAATAACTTTTCATGCAACGCCCTGATGGATTCAGGTGCTGCTGGAAACTTCATCGACGTTGAATTTGTCAAAGGTAATACTATACCTATTAAAGAGAGACTATCACCCCTAGCTGTTGGAGCTATTGATGGGAGACCACTCTCACAACCATTGATAACGCATGAAACCTTGCCCATTAATATTTCCATTGGTGCATTACATAAGGAAGAGATTACATTTCAGGTGATTGCATCTCCTTCTTGTCATATTATATTAGGATCCCCATGGCTTAACAAGCATAACCCTCATATTGACTGGGCTAATGGGGAAATATTAGAATGGGGTAAGGATTGTAATGAAAGGAGCAGATTGCATGTAACCAAAAGAGTGGGCACTATTGAATTACCCACTAGTACACCTCAAAATCCCAAGATCCCTATACAATACCAAGACATTAAAGAAGTATTCAGCAAGACTCAGTCTAATACTCTACCTCCTCACAGACCATATGACTGTTCCATTAACTTAATGGAGGAATATATTAAAGATTCATTGAATAAAGGCCATATACGAAAATCATCCTCGCCTGCTGGTGCAGGATTCTTTTTTGTATCTAAAAAGGATGGTGAGTTGCGCCCATGTATCGATTACAGGGCATTGAACAAAATCACCATTAAGAATGCCTACCCCATTCCTCCTATTGCTGAATTATTTGACAGACTCCAGGGCGCTAAAGTGTTTACTAAGCTTGACCTTAGAAGCGCTTACAATTTAGTGAGAATCAAGAAAACCACGAGTGGAAGACTGCATTTAATACCAGAAGTGGACACTATGAATATCTAGTGATGCCATTCGGGTTGTACAATGCTCCAGCAGTTTTCCAAGATTTCATTAACGCTAAGGGATTACATTTACTCGTTTGTCTTGGTCTATCTGGATGATATCCTTATATATTCTCCTGGCCTCCAGTCTCACCACGATCACGTTAAACAAGTTCTGCAAACCTTATTAAAAAAACATCTTTATTGTAAATTGGAAAAATGTATCTTTGACCAGTCTGAAGTACAGTTTTTAGGATATAATATTTCTGCCTCGGGGTTTCAGATGGATCCTAAAAACCTAGAGTCTGTTCTACAGTGGCCTTTACCCACTGGGTTGAAAGCCATTCAAAGGTTCATTGGTTTTGCCAATTATTACAGAATATTTATAAAGGGATTTTCTTCAGTAATAGCCCCCATCACCAATATGACACGCAAGGGGGCTAGTAGTACACTACTTAGACCAGGCTTCAATTGCCTGGTCTAAGTAGGCAATTGAAGCCTTTGAAACTCTCAAACAGCGGTTTGCCTCCGCTGACATATTGATACATCCTGACACCAGTAAGCCTTTCATACTGGAAGTTGATGCATCAGAGACAGGGGTAGGGGCAGTTCTCCGCCAGGAGCCAGGAAACTCTGTTACATCCTTGTGGTTACTTTTCTAGAAAGTTGTCTCCTGCTGAGCGCAATTACGATATTGGCAATAGAGAATTGTTGGCCATTATTCTAGCTCTCAAGGAGTGGCGACATCTTCTAGAGGGTTCCAACGACCCCCTTTTGATCATTACTGATCACAAAAACCTGGCTTACATAGGAGATGCTAAACGATTATCTTCTAGACAAGCTAGATCGTCTCTATTTCTTTCTCGCTTTAATTTTCTTATCACCTACAGACCTGGTTCTAAAAATGTCAAGGCCAATGCCTTGTCCAGGCAGTTTGATAGTGAGGCTATACGAGAGCAAGAAACGTGCCATATCATTCCCCCGGAATGTATCATTGCGTCCACAGTCCTTTCATTGTCCTCTCCACTGCTTGGCTCCATCATGGAGGCTCAGTCTCAGGCGCCCTGCGGTAAACCTCAGGACAAACTGTTCGTTCCATTGGGGGAAAGGGTTAATATCATGAAGGTGTTTCACGACAATGTGTCTGCTAGTCACCCAGGTATTAATAAATCCACTTCTGCTATCATGAGGTCATTTTGGTGGGATTCCCTCAGGAAGGATGTTAAGGAATATGTGCAAGCTTGTTCTGTTTGTGCGGTTTCCAAAGTGCCTCATAAACTCCATTGTGGCTTGTTACAACCTCTTCCTATTCCTGAGGTCCCATGGTCCCACTTGTCCATGGACTTCGTTAGAACTAGGAAGTTCAACAATGGTTATACCATCATTCTCATGGTTGTGGACCGTTTTTCTAAAATGGCTCATTTTATTCCTCTCAAGAAATTACCGTCATCTCAAGACCTGGTACTGAACTTTATACGTGAGATTGTCAGTCTGCATGGCATTCCTCACAATATTGTATCTGATAGAGGTTCTCAGTTTGTATCCTGGTTTTGGAGGGCTTTTAATAAGCAATTGGGGATTGAATTGTCTTTTTCATCCTCTTACTACCCCCAGACTAACGGTACAGCTGAGAGGGCTAACCAGTCTTTGGAGTTATACTTGCGTTGTTTTGTTAATAGCACTCAAGACAATTGGTCCGAATTATTACTATGGGCCGAGTTTGCTAGGAACAGTGCTGACCATGATTCCTCTGGACATAGTCCATTTTTTGTTAATAATGGCCGGCATCCTACTGTCCTACCGGCTGTTTTTTCTGATACGGCTATTACTGCTTTGGATGACCGTCTGGCTTCCATTCGTGATACCTGGGTTAAAGTTCAATCTGCTCTGGGTACTGCTGCTGACCATTTCAAGCATTATGCTGATACACGTCGAGGTGCCAATCCTGTTTACCAAGTGGGTGAGAGGGTTTGGTTATCTTCTCGTAACATCAGGCTCAAAGTCCCTAGCATGAAATTTGCTCCTAGGTTCCTTGGACCTTTTCGTGTCCTTCGTAGGATCAATCCTGTTGCGTACTCTCTGGCCCTTCAAGCCTCCTTGAAAATTCCTAATACCTTTCATGTGTCCTTGCTCAAACCTCTTGTTTGCAATAAATATACTGTTTCAAGTGTCCCTCCTTCTCCCTTAGTTGTTTCGGATAATTGAAATCATTGAGTTGAAGATTTTTCTTTTCTTTCATAGACTACAGCACCGGAAAGAACATCAGAACCAACATTGGAGATCAAAGAGGCTACTAAAGAAGAGGTAACAGACTAAACAATATGCTATAGTTAAATCCTAAGATTTTCAGTCTCTGTAATACAACTTGTAAATTAAATTCACTTTGCTCCTTCCTACTCAGACTTAACAGGCCAGGGGAGATCAACTGTTTGGTGTTATCTGATCCATTGGAAAATCAATGCATTTAGAGTTCTGAGTTGGCCATTCTGGCCCCATACCTCCAGGAGATCAATATTTTTAGTCTTAGTGGGCAGTGCCAGACAGAGATAATTGTGTTCAGGCTCAATGGGCGGGGCCATGCACAGATCACTGTGTACTGCCTGAGGGGGCGGTGCCATACTCAGATCACTGTGTACAGCTTGAGGGGGCAGGGCCATGCACAGATCACTGTGTTCAGTCTGAGGGGGCGGGGTCAAGCTCAGATCACTGTGTTTAGTCTGAGGGGGTGGGCCATGCTCAGATCACTGTGTTTAGTCTGAGGGGGCGGAGCCATGAAGAGATCAGGCTTCATCAGAATGCATACAGAGATCTTAGAGAGCAGCAGGCTCTGTTCTGAAAATTCCACTATAGTAAATGTAACAGACTAAACAATATTCTATAGTTAATCTATAAGGTTTTCAGTCTCTGTAATACAATGGATGTGCAATGCTTGTAGATATATTTTCTAGCATTATGTGTCAGTGTGGCTTTGTGTACCTCTCATGCATTTCTGAGTTGGCCATTCTGGTCCCAGTCCTCTCCCTCTCATTACCACAGATCACTGTGTTCAATCTGGGTGGCAGAGCCATGTACAGATCAGACTCCATCAGACCTAATACAGGAATCTCAGAGGCAAGCGCCCCTTGTTCTGGTCAGAAGTTAGGAGGGAGGTTTTAACAAACAGAGTAGGTTCCCCATCAGACATGGGACTATATGCAGCTGCCTTGTCAGCCTAATGGGAAATCAGGCCCTGGCTCAGGATATTTGTTAATGATATTTGAAATCATTGAGTTGAAGATTTTTCTTTCATAGATTACAGCACCAGAAAGAATATCAGAACCAACATTGGAGATCAAAGAGGCTACTAAAGAAGAGGTAACAGACTAAACAATATGCTATAGTTAAATCATAAGATTTTCAGTCTCTGTAATACAACCTGTGAATTAAATTGGGAACATTATAAAATTAAATTCACTTTGCTCCCTCCTGCTCAGACTTAAAGGACCACTCTAGGCACCGAGACCACTTCAGCTTTATGAAATGGTCTGGGTGCCAGGTACCTCTAGGATTAACCCTTTTTTTTATAAACATAGCAGTTTCAGAGAAACTGCTATGTTTATACTGAG